ACTCATGTCACCGAACACAGAGACGACACTGAAAATTTCCTGTACCTTGAACCTTTGTTCTCTGCGTCTCCGCCTACTGACTAACTCTGAAAACACGCAGAACTCGCTTGCAGTTAGAGGCGGCGCGACGTGAAGCGTCGGCGTGGTTCCGCCATTGCTCGGGTTCTTTCGCGAAGTTTCGGTGTAAGAGAGACAGAGACGCAGCGACTGCCGCACGGAACACAGCTCCAATGGTCAGGCGTATGAGAGAAAAAAATGTGTCTTCCGTATCGTAGACTGCGCGTAGGATAAGGGCTGTTGTAGCAAGGGCGAATCCTCTCACTTTCTGTCGATACAAGTAAGGACTCCTCTCCCACTTTGCCCTATAGACGCAACAGTTTGTTTCTTTTCATAAAGCAGGAAAGACAAATTTCAGGAGAAAAGTCAACCAAACACTTTTGCCTTCACGATTATAATTCAGTTGAAGAATTCCCCTTTCCAAATCTTAAACATACGAGATACATCAGTATCATGTACAAGCTTCTGTTTTTGGCTAGTTCTTACAAGTTAAAATAATGTACGTGAATAATTTCTCAACTACTTTTCTAACGTTTGTCACTTAAACTTGGTTTCTGTAAAAAAATAATAAGTATGAAGCATGAACTGCTTTAATTGCAGGAAACGTTAATCTAATATTCTAAATCAAGATTAAAAAAACTGGTCTATTTAAAAATCTAATTTTATTAAGAAGATTTAAGAGAATACAAATAAAATATGTCATCTTATTACATTATCCAAATAGAAACCCAAGATCTAGGCATGAAGATTCTATTAAGTCTTATTAAATTGTATACGGTATAAAATTATTTTTAACCAGCTAACGGTTTTTATTCGTTCGGATGAAAGATTTGTTCATCCCTGCACCAGTATTTGTTTTACTGTAATTTCGAATTATATTAAATTGTATGATTGGGAACAAAATCATTAGAAAGATTTTTGATTGATTATGAAGCACACCTAATAAACGAAATTTTCTTTTCAAGTTTATAGCTTACAAAAGTGTTTCCTGATATGTGTGAGATGAGAAGAGAAATTAAGATAGGACAATAGTTTCTCACGATTGCTGCCCTAAAATATTTCAATGATATTTTTTAGCACGAATGTTGTAATAATCTAGCATAGGTTATAGAATTTGAATTTTAAATGCGTTTTGAGAAAAGTCACGGGAGGTTTAAATTGTGTTTAAATTCTTCTTTAGATATCTCAGATCATCCAATAGTCTTCAAATGTTTTCTGTTCGTCCGACATCACTTCTCATATTTAACGGATTTATGAAGAAAAGAAGCAGAAATAACCCTCTCATTATAAAGATAGATAAACTGCATGTCATATATCTAACTTTTGTTGATTCTTACTTTTTATACATTTGTTTCTCTTGAAACGTGAATATATACGAAGATTTCTGTCTTCTGGGTTGTTGCGCTGTGTAGTGTGGTCGATGTTTGTGGTAAAATAAGTAACGCATCCTAATACTTCCTAAGAAAAGCTCTCACTTAGAACAGAACAGAATCTGTTTCGAAAAGGAAATATTTATTGAGCAATTTCATCTTGCCGTAAAACGAGTTGGTTTACAAGCGCAGGTAAAATATTCATTTCGCATTGCTGAAATACCTATCGATCTTAAATATTCACAAAAAAACATTTCGCTGTTGTATTACGCAAGGCTTTAAAGAGACGTAAAGTATAACGTCTCGCTTAAGTTTGTGGTTTCAGTCCATACCAAGTATGAAGTTGCAGGATTTATTGGCTTCCGATTATGAATATGTGCACGTATTTGCTGTATGTCGCTTTATTCCTGTGTCTTTTTCGTGTACAATTTGTCAAACACTTGTTACAAAGTAGTAGCAGATGCTCCGCCCTGGATAGTAATGCGCATTAAGACCACTGATATTGGAGGAATATAAAGTAAGTGT